TAGGTTCCACCGAGATTTGAACTCGGATCGCTGGATTCAGAGTCCAGAGTGCTAACCGTTACACCATGGAACCTCCTTTCCCATGCTGGGAATCGAACCCGGGCCGCATGGGTGAAAGCCACGTATCCTGGCCACTAGACCACATGGGACTTGTTAGATAGACGATAACCTGCCTACTTCAAATACTAGTCATGCAGAAGTAGGTCAGTTAGTTTTGTAATCTACCTGGTGTACAAGACGTTACAATACTATTTTGCTTATGCTCTTTGATGTGTAAAACAACATTTCCTACAAAGTAGTTTTTAAAAGTAGAAATAACATTGAATATAAATACAATACCTTATGCATAGTCGATTGGCAAAAATGTGCTGTCGGGTTTCTCATGTTCAATTTTAGATTTTGATTTGCGACACCTTCAATGGATTTATGTAGAACCCCACAGTTCACACGGAAAGCAGTTCGAAGATGCTACTTGTTTATGAGATATGCCGTAATTCCTTTCGTATTCTGCCCCTTTCTTAAGTTATATTATCGTCCAAAAATAAAGACTGCGAAATTACGCGAGTAATTTAAATTCTGAAGGACGCAGTTACAGCAAGAAGATAGCAAAAGAAAGATAGTCCTTGATAAAGTAACTATCACAGCATTTTTCTGTAAAACAAAGCTGCATTGCAATAAGAATACGTAGTAACAGTAATATTAAAACATCCAATAAGATATCTTCATTCCTAACATCCCTGTTACTTAAGTATTTCCCATCTGATAGTGGTCTCTATGAGATCACTTCAAATTATCCAAAAATAATTAGAAAAGGAGAGTGTAGGATTTAGCGCAATGAAAGACTGACTGGGAATAACTCAATGATAAAGCCAATTCTGACATATGCTAGCCCGGTATGGGGCGCAGCAGGAATTACTAACAGGAAACTTATCCGAATCTTTCAGAACACATTATGCTACGGCAAATTTATAAAGCTCCTTGGTTTGTCACGAACGAGGATATTCATAATGCAGCCAAAATTCTCCCCATAAATCGCTTTGTACAGCGACTTCGGCTAACATTTTCCAAAAGATATCTTCGATCGGAAACCCCGTACTCCACAGCCTCCCTGCTTATCATCCGGGAATTGCATCGTCTAAAATGAGACCCAGAGCTATTCTGGAGAAAGCATGCAATGCGCTTCCTTTCGCCAAGAGGCGTTGCTATGGAGACGAGGCGCCTCGAAGGTTTCAATAAACTCGTTCGCTTGCCCCCCCCCACGCCTGAGTGAATTCGCTGATCTTTCAGCTTCCATCAGGGTCACTCTCTCTTTGTCGCCTAATCGCGCAATCTTACTTCTTCCATCTGTAAGCGGTTGTTATCAGGCTGTAAGCACATCTTTGTTTCCTTCTTAAAAGGGTTCTAGTGCAAGGATTACTTAATTTAATCTCTTTAAGAGAACTTAATGGTTTTTCATTCATTATCATAACACTTAAAGTTAATGCAATCTTATTATATTTTAAAAAGTTTCTCCTCAAAGGCATTGCTGGCTGTGTCTCTTTAATTCAAACTCGCCTAACGATTTCCCGGTTTTCCCCTCCCCCAGAACCGAAGCACTTGCGACTTGAAGATTTTCGCGAGTGTTGCTGCTCACGTGTTGTTAACAGCACATGGCCATTGATCAAGGAAACATAGATGCTTTTCAAAATTCATGATATAACCCCTCCAAATTGAGTCTGGCCCTTATTCGACACCAAAATTACTAAATTCAGTCCTTAAGTGTTTTCACTGTGGAAGGCAGTTACTCTTTTTGTTAAATTAACATTTTGGCACTAAATTTACCTCTTTGCGGAAACCTCTTTTTGGTGATAAAGATAATTCTTTGACGATGTGGGGATAAAGGCTATATGCTTAAGAACCCCGTAATAGAACCCTTCCTTGGTCCTTGGAAGACTGACTGGCAGTTTGTATTTGCTTGGCTTTGATATGTCGGTCCTCGTATTAATCGGGCGTAAAATTTAGCATTAAAATGGTATGGTCTGGTGTGATCTCTGCAGGGAGTTTGCGATGTTATGTCTTAGAAAAACTAAAACAATCTGTACGCGTACGAAACGATTTTAAAATTTATTATTTATTTATTTGGGACGCAGTCCTGCCCGCCTGATGAGCTATTTTTAAAATTTATTGAGATTGTTCGCTAAATTAAGGTAGGCGGAAAATACTTGAATAATTTTATAATTTTTAGAACCTAACACTAAAAAACTACGGGGCTGGAAAAATGTAACTTATCTTCATAGTTGTACACTGTGTTACCTTTTTGCTAAAATGAAGTCCGCCCGAACAGGGACTCGAACCCTGGACCGTTAGGTTAAAAGCCTAACGCTCTACCGACTGAGCTATCCGGGCTTAAGCTAGATTGAAAGGAGAAGGCTTATAATCAAATGGAGGATTTTGTTTATAGCATACTGAACACTACTAGAAATAAATGCAAGAGAATCCCTATTCCCAAAGGCAGATAATTAGTAGAGGCTAGTCGGTAAGTACAGAACAGTTTTTAGGAAAGAAATAAGCATTTTGGCTGTTGTTAAGATATTTCAAACCTCTAAATAGAAATATGGCACTTATTTTGCATCGTTACCTACCTAAGTGAATGCACACAGTTCTGACAGAAATCAGAATACATTCTCTTTATACTCGCAGTTTTAACAAAACGTTTACCAAGGCCAAATTTTAGGTCTATCTGTAATAGGTTTTTCTCTTTTATACTAATTAATTAATTAATACTTTACCTTACCATAAGGGTACTATTCCGTTTTGAGGACTGTAAAAAAATTGCAACGAAAATGTAAGCACAAAAGCGCCAAATCTAGCATACGCGCTGATTTCAAATTGCGAAAGTTTATGTAGTTCTATATTTCTTAAGACGCCATTGAAATACTATTTTAATTTTTAAATCCTTTTTTGATATCCTATGGATTTAACAATTTGGGAATAGCCCATGACGAAAAGTCTGCAATAGAATTTCGGGTAAAGGGCTGAATCACCCATTGCTTGACACGTCTTTAAGAATTGCATGTACACATCTACCTATGTTCACTTAAAAAAAATCCCAGAATTACATAAAAATGGCACTGCGCGCACCCTTCACTTTATCTATGTACACATAGACCTATTTTCACTTAAAAAGTAAAAGAAAAATGAAAAAAATCCAATTGTTTTTACTTTTGTAAAAAACCGGGAAAAAAAAAAGAGGGCGATTCTGCACTTTACCTAGAATATTTTCAAAAAAAAAAAAAAAAAAAAAAAAAAAAAGCATCATTCGTTATAGAAAATTATGTTTGAACAAAACAACCAACGAGATGAAAGTATGCTTTAGCGATAACTCGGTAGCGAAAGAGCGATGCAGGCATCCATCCATTCAGTTATGTTTAGCCTTTTTCATATAAATTATAATAATAAAAATGTATTATATGAAATTAAACCTTTCATCTAAATTAACACATCAATCTTAGTTAGTTAATTACAATTTATACTTCCTTTCTTGCGTTAGGGTTGCCACAAATATTTTTGGCAGCACTGGCATCAACAATAGTTTGCGATTTGTCGATTATCTACGGCCCTCAAAACCGAATAGTACCAAAATAAGATTAAAAGAAGCAACCTTTATTTATCGCAGATTTCCAGTATAGGTTTTTTTGAGTTGGGGAACTGCATGCCCTTAAAGGCTTTGAGTATTCACAAAAATTTACATTTTTCCGCTCAGTTTTTTTATTTTATTGTATTTTTTAAATTTAGTGATATATCGGGTTTTCTCAGTGCTTCCGAATTTCCAGCATCTTATCTCCTTTACCTTTCATTGCTGTTTTGATAGACAATGGCGTGACGTTCATTTTCGTTTTCCTTCGCACGTTGAATTTTCTATAAATATGGTTGTCGCATTTCCTACTATAGCAAAATGCTTTATTACTCCAGAGAAGAGGAGCATATGCCTGAAAGCCCTCAAAATCGATAGCGATTATTCAATTTCTGATCCAATCATAGGCAGCTTCCCTGGCTTAATTGAAATATATATATTTAAATTATCATTCATTAAATATTTCCTGTAAGTGTAGTCAGACGCAAAATTTATTGAAGAATTTTTTCTACAAAATATTCGTAGATTTTGCGTATTGGACCATAGAGTCAAATCTAAGTGCTCATAATTCGAGGTTGAAGAGACTTAGAACTTAGCGTTAAGGATTCCAGAAATTATTGTGCAACAAAGAAAATTCTGGGGAACATTTTCAAATAAGCCTTCATCGATAAAATTCGTTGCCAAATGACATTCTCTCTTTATCGCTGTTTAATTGTCAAACGGCTCATATTAAAAGGAAACTATAACAGTGCCTGCTTTTATTTTTTAAACTATTCAGCATATTAACTGATAATAATTAACGTAGCTAAAAAATAAAATTGAATAAGATTTTGTATAATATTTAATTCCTTAATACATGCAAGGTAACTTCTGTACCAATAAGCGTAGAGTTCGCAGTTTTTGAACTAAAATAATTCTAGTCTTGCATTTTTAACCCGCGGGAAAGCGCGTGGGGTGTATCATACTCGAACCCTACATAAATGTGGAATATTCCTAATTTGTGAAACTGAAATTCTGTGCTGCTTTCAGTAACTGAGTTTCTAGTTGTGGTTGACTTTCAGAACCGCTTTTTTGCCTGTGCGTTTCAGAAAAAGATTTATCGGTATTTTGTTGGAACTAGGTTATGACACACCCCACGCGCCTGTCCGTGTAAGTGTTTTTCTGACTGAATATGTAGTTCAGAAATTTATTTCTAGAGTGTAACAATAAATACTTCTGCTCGCAAGTGATTTTAAAGTACTTGACATTAAATTCGTAAAAATTTCTAACCGCATTATGGTAAAAAGAATGAGTTCCTATGAACTGGAGATGCAACGCATGTGAGATTTATTAGAAATATTTGTAAGCGAGGAAGATTGCATTTCGGAAACTGAAGATGAAACTAAGAATATTTTCTACAATGTTTTGGTTTTGAGAAAGATAAAACATTAATTCCTGATGTTCCTAAAAGCGAAGAAACTCTTCTTATGCTTTCAACATTATGATACTATTGGAGAAAATAAAACGTCAGGAATTATATGTTTTAATAATATGACTAAAGGAGCAGTGGATATAGGGGATGAAATGTCAGGCCCAATTATTCAATTGCCAGAATAACAAGGAGGTGGCCAATGGTAACTTTCTTTCCTGCACTGAATGTTGTTGCTGCAATAGATGCTTGGAATTATATTACATTCAACTGCTAATACACCAATTAGAAACAGAAGCAGATGTCTGTTTTTGAAGGACTTAGCATTACAATTAATGGAAAAAGTATTGAACAAAGATCAGAGATTAATACTTTACCAAGAAACTTGTCGTACTGCATGCAAAACAAAAGCAGAAGTTTCGACGAAGAATTAAAAACGAATACATGAAATTCGAAACAACTAAGTATGAAAGATGTGATAAATTTTTTGCCCTCGAAGGACAGAAGAACGTGAATGCAATGTTTAAAATGTGAAAACATTCTGTGCCAAGAACACATGAATGTATTTCTTTCAAAGTGTGAAGAAATAAAATAAGCATGGTGCAATAGAGATGAAATGAAACTTAGAGGCATGATGTTTAATTTTTTATTACTTTCAATTATCTTAATTTTAACTGTAAGATTATTTTGAAAATAAATTTTTTGAAACCCGATTATTATTCATTTATTTATAATACACGAGAACAAACAAACAAAAAAACAAAAAAAAAAAAAAAAAAAAAAAAAAAAAAACCAGTTTTAAAACTAAATAACACTATTTTTATTGTATTTTAAATATTGGGGTATGTGATACCCCACGCGCCCACTATAGTAACTTTTCTTGGTGCGACTTCCGCCGTGTTAATTGTACGAGAGGAATGTAATCGTATCTCATCTAGTATCATCTAGATATCTAAAAGGGTATAGGTTCCACAGAGACTTGAACTCGGATCGCTGGATTCAGAGTCCAGAGTGCTAACCGTTGCACCATTGAACCTCCTTTCCCATGCCGGGAATCGAACCCGGGCCGCGTGGGTGAAAGCCACGTATCCTGACCACTAGACCACATGGGACTTGTTAGATAGGCGATAACCTGCCTACTTCAAATACTAGTCATGCAGAAGTAGGTCAGTTAGTTTTGTAATCTACCTGGTGTACAAGACGTTACAATACTATTTTGCTTATGCTCTTTGATGTGTAAAATAACATTTCCTACAAAGTAGTTTTTAAAAGTAGAGATAACATTGAATATAAATACAATACCTTATGCATACTCGATTGGCAAAAATGTGCTCTCGAGTTTCTCATGTTCAATTTTAGATTTTGATTTGCGGAACCTTCAATGGATTTATGTAGAACCCCACAGTTCCACGGAAAGCAGTTCGAAGATGCTACTTGTTTACGATATATGCCGTAATTCCTTGCGTATTCTGCCCCTTTCTTAAGTTATATTATCGTCCAAAAATAAAGAGGGCGAAATTACGCGGGTAATTTAAATTCTGAAGGACGCAGTTACAGCAAGAAGATAGCAAAAGAAAGATAGTCCTTGATAAAGTAACTATCACAGCATTTTTTCTGTAAAACAAAGCTGCATTCCAATAAGAATACGTAGTAACAGTAATATTAAAACATCCAATAAGATATCTTCATTCCTAACATCCCTGTTACTTAAGTATTTCTCATCTGATAGTAGTTTCTATCAGATCACTTCAAATTATCCAAAAATAATTAGAAAAGGAGAGTGTAGGATTTAGCGCAATGAAAGACTGATTGACAGTTTGTGTTTGCTTGGATTTGATATGTCGGTCCTTGTATTAAGCGGGCCTAAAATTTAGCATTTAGAATAGTAACGTCTGGTGTGATCTCTGCAGTTAGTTGACGATGAAAAGCGAAAACAGTCTCTAGGCGAACGAAACGAATTTAAAATTTATTATATTTTTATTTAGGACTCAGTCCGGCCCGCCTGACGAGCTATTTTTAAAAATTTATTGGGATAGTTCGCTAAATTAAGGAAGGGTGAAAGTGCTTGAGTAATATAACTTACGGTGCTGGAATACGGTAGCTTATCTTCATGGTTGTAAACTGTGCTATCTTTTTGCTAAAATGAAATCGGGCCCGAACAGGGACTCGAACCCTGGACCGTTAGGTTAAAAGCCTAACGCTCTACCGACTGAGCTATCCGGGCTGAAACCAGATACGATCCGACCCGAACAAGTATTGCTAGGGTAGCGCGCTGTTTCCAGTTCTTGAAGAGTTGCCAAGAGGCACATGAATGTAGTAAGTCTGACGTAGTAAAGTTGTGGGATTGTGGCGATGGGAGAAGAGGGGTGAACAAGATGCCGCAATTCTAGAATTAGGGCATACAAGAAGACGAGCCGCAGACGGAGTAGTGCAAGGTAGAGCAATCATGAGTTTTATGTTGAGGTACTGTGAAAGTACAAAACATGACATAACAAGTTGGTAAAGAATACTAACTCTCAGAAGAATACATTTCGTCAAAAAAAAAAAGTTACAGTGACAAAAATGCAGTAAGTTGTAAAATTAGATACAATTAAAGAAATTTCGATAAAGATAATGAAGAAAGTAATAAGGAGTGCTATGTACAATATATGCTCAAACTAGAATGCAAGGAGAAGGCTTATAATCACATGGATGATTCTGTTTATAGCTTACTGAGTACTACCAGAAATGAATACAAGAGAATCCCTATTCCCAGAGGCAGATAATTAGTTGAGGCTAGTCGGTAAGTACACTACATTTGTTGGGAAAAAATAAGCATTTTGGCTTTTGTTAAGAGATTTCACATCTCTAAATGCGAATATTATACTTATTTTGCTTCACCACCTACCAGTTTTACGTGAAGCAGAAACAGCTCACACTTTTGCGCGAAATCCGAGTCCGTTCTCTTTATACTCGCAATTTTAACAAACAGCCAAATATTAGGTCGATCTGAAATACGTTTTTGTCTTGTATACTAATTAATTAATTAATACTTTAATTTAAAAGATTTGTCGTAGATTTTGTTTATAGGATTTTGGGTTGCGGAACTGGCTGCCGTTAAACGCTTTGAGTATTTTAAATTTGCCTTTCTTCCTTCCGTTTTTATTCTTTATTGTATTTTTAAAATTTAGTTTTAAAGCAGGTTTTTCTCAGTGCTTCCAAATTTCTAATATCTTCACTTTTCATTACGGTTTTGCTCGACAATGGCCTGACGTTCGTTTTCTCTTTGCTTCGAGCGTTTAGTAGTTTATGAATATGGTTTTGGTCTTCCCACTATAGCAATAAGGTTTTTACTCCTGGGAAGAGGTGCATATATGCCTAAATCCCCTCAAAATCTATAGAGTTTTATTCAAATTCTGAGCTAATCTAAGGCTGCTTCCCTGGCTTAATTGTTATATACCCTTTTAATTATCATTCATAAAAGCAACCTTATGTCTCTACTGTGTCGTCCGAACTAAAAGCGTTTGTTAATGATGATTCTTCGCTGCCGTTATTTGGTGATTGGTTCCCCTAAACCCCAGTACGACCTATAAAAGGGTGAGTATATAAGGTATTTCTCCCGCCTTCGTAGCATGCCTTCGCGGTGTAGTGGTCAGCACGCTCGACACGTATTCATGAGGTCCGTGGCTTGAGTCCCGGCGAAGGCACTGCTCATTATTTTCATCTCCTGTTTTACAAAAATTTTAATGACTCTACTATATATTTGTTGAAAACAGCATATTCTTAGTTCAGATAAACAGGAATAAATAAGTAGGAATTGACTTTAAATATGTGAAAATATTGTATTAACTTCAAGGGTCATCCACAAGTTTAAAAAAATGTATTTGAACTTGAGTACATAAATAAAAAGTATTTTATCAACGATTGAAAATTTGAACAAGCTACAAGGAGAGTATGGCCGAATAGTAGGAATTTAAAATTATTTTACACAAACTATGCGTATGTTACAATTTGCCGTAGACTCGGGGCATATTGTAACAATACAAAATATCGTTTTTAAAACCCATTTGGGGATAATTATTAACTGATATGACAGCACTAAAAATATCAAGTGGTCTATAGTAAAAGAAAATATAAAATTATTTAACTAATCAAAGTAAAAGTGAGTCTTCATCAGAATTCCAGTTAACACAAACAAACAATAGATTGTTTCCTCTCACACATTTAACATGTGCCGCCATTTTGCAAATTAAGTATTGCACCTATTCTTCTTCATAAAAGTTTTTGTAAACACTTTTCAGAATCTGTACCTGAGTTCAAAATCCTTTTTTTCATCCATTTTATCTTTCCTTCTTTTTTCGTTTTTAGATATATTTTCTTCGAATTTTCCTATCCCCTTTCCTTTCCTTTTTCGCTTCATATTAAATATTCTTTTTCTGTCCTTTTTCAATCAAGATGGCAGATTTTGTTTTGCGTCGGCTCCTTAAACTGCTTCTGTCGTGGAGTCTTAGAGAAAGATGTAATGTTTGAGGGTGTAAAATCGATTTTTATATTTCAGGAAAGAAAACTAAACAGGAAAAATTAATTTGCATTCTAGCAGTTAAAGAAGAAAATCTAACTACAATGACTCGAAATATCGAAATTTGTTACAACTTTCTCCATCGCATAATTTCGGATATTTTTGTTTATTCATTAAAAAAAACTATTTAAATTAGTAATAAAATTAAAGCGGCATTTTAAGGTTTAACACATAGACAAACTAAATAGATAAAACTATTTAAAAACATAAATTAATTTACTTTACATCAAAATTTACAATATATATATATAATTTTTTCCGATTAATTAGCTAGTTAATAAGAGCTGATCCGTTAATTAGTGGTGACTGTGCTTAAGCCTCATAAAAATCATATTTAGTGAAAATGCTGATAAAAAATTTTAAAAAACTACTGCAAAACGTGTGTATTACTACTTGCTCCTAATACAATTAGTCCCTAGCTTTCTTACGCACTTAGAATCAGCATTTAGTTACTAATGCAAAGTTTCATGATTTTTATGTTCTGTCATCCGTTTAGATTGTACTAGATTATCATATAATATAGATACAACATTTTTCATCACTCTTCTATCTCATCTCTGTTTCTGAAAATTAAATTGCTACAATCGTTTTCTTTCTTATATATTACGCACAGAGAAGAAAAAAAAATGCAATGATAATGTATAATACAACTCACAGCAGATTTTTATATTTCTTTAATAGCATTAATATCTAACTAAATTTATCACATAAACTTTAACATCTTTACCTATGCTGCGTGAATTTTGCGTCACTAATAGAGTTTGGTATTATTCACGATTTCACGCTTGCCTTGGAAGGTCTTGATATAGGAGCATTACCGTACAGGGAAAATCTATTTTAGGTTCATAAATTGATATATTAGAAAAGTAAGTACTTTATTTTAAGTTTTCATGCAGGGGCCTAGTTTAATAAATGAGATTAGAAACTCGCGTAATTGAAAGTGGGAACAGCTGACCTAAATAATAAATGCTTTAAAACCAGTTCTGAAGCAAATGCATGAAATTAATTGCAGAAAACCATCAGTCATAGTTTCGTATGCTTTGCTTTCCCTTTTCAATGCCTTTAAATATGGCATTTAGAGTGTATTTAAAATCTTTTCGATAGGTATTACTTTATTCTAGCGGAGAATGTCTGCTGTTAAATTTGTAAGCTAATGTGCTTATACATTTTAGAACGACTTCGGGGCAGTTTAATTAATGTTTAAAATACAAAACGTATTTTTGTAAAGGTGTAAGCTCACTGCCTTTCTTCTCCATAACAAGTCTGCTTGATCTCCATGAAAAAATGGCCTTTCGTTAAATTTCTGGGCTCTTGATTTCCATTCTTTTCCCACTTCTTTCCGGAATCCATCAGTAATGGTGGGTTAGCACTTAGAAAGAGCTATTTTCAGAGACCAAATACATAGTCCATTGGTAAAACATCAGGGGACGTTGCAGGAATAGGTTGAAATATATATATACGTAATAACTGTATCAGCCTTTCTCGCTCTCTTTTTTTTTTTTTTTTTTTATCTTTTAAGGAATGCAGTAGTATTTTTCGAAATATCACTAATTGTTTTCTCTTGGTGAAGTTTCACTTTTTGAAAGTCATGGGGGAAAGAAATAGCATTTCTTTTATACATATAGGATATAAAATTTTTTCTTGAGTTGATTTTAGCATTATTCCTAAATTTCTTATTTTTAATTTCCCATTGTTAGAGAATCCTGCGACAATCATAAGTCCCTTACTGAAACTTTGTTTTGTATTGATGAACCAAGTTTGTACATTTTTTCATCTCTTTTTTACTTCCTACAAGGAAGTAGCACTTCCTTCCTAGTGCTACTTCCTTTTTACTTCCTACAAGGAAGTAAAAAGGAAGTATTGCAATGGCGAAAAGTTTCAGGCAGCATATTTCAACGAAAATATCCATTTTGACCGCTATCGAATGCAATTTAACGATGTTTTTGCGTTATATCTGTACGTAAGGACAGAATAAAATACTCTTTTACTCCAAAAAAATTATAAAACTGAATTCTGAAGTAAAAGGTGAATTTGCGTTACAATACCCGTGATAGCCATTGCGTTAAAAAGATATAATGACATAAGCTTAGCCATTCCACTTTAGTTGATTATTATGACCTCCCAATTAATAAGCCACTAAATGTAATGCAAAGCCGTCAAATATCATAAAAGATATCTAATTTTGTTTTTCAAAAATAGGCAAACGAAGCGACGACTAAAAGAATGGTATAGAAAAAAGTTACTTCAATTACGTTTCAAGGTATTAAATGAACAAAAGTAAACTATTCATTAATATTATTTAAGTTATTACTTTTGTAATTAAGATGTAATTAGCACAAAAAGAAAAATGTGACTTATTATATCGAAGGGATCCAATATTAATGGGCTCTTGATTAAGTATTAGTTTTGTAATCAGTGTTTAATTATTATAAAAAGAAAAAATGGGGTTTATTATATCGAAGGCATCCGATATTAATGGTTTCTTTATTAAGTTATTAGTTTTGTACTTGGTGTTTAATTAGCATAATAAGTAAAAATGTGTTTTGTTTTTTAATCAGTGTTCAATTAACATAAAAAGTAAAAATGTAGTTTTTTTTTTTTTTTTTTTTTAATCAGTGTTCAATTAGCATAAGAAGTTAAATTATTGTAATCAGAGGAATGGGATGTTAATGGTCTCTTTATTAAGTTATTAGTTTTGTAATTAGTATTTAATTAGTATGAAAAGTAAAAACGAGGTTTATTCCTACGTAGCATCGCTAAGCGAATGATAAAAGTAATACCACCAAATTGATATTACTGTATTTAATTGTAGTTATAGCTGTCACAAAAATGCGTATTCTTGTCAGATGAAAACGTATTTAAAATTAAAATCACAGCACAGGATCCTTTGCTGAAATATCCCAAAACTTTAAGTTTTTAATGCATGCTTGATTAACACAGCAATCTGGGAGCTAGAATGTTCTCAGGAGAAAACCCAATTAATAAATGAATACTTTTTGATTAAGAAAATAGACAAGCTTTGTCTAAATCCGACTATCCTAACTTTTTAATACTTTTTGATCGACGTAGAGAACTCTGCGAAGGCTCTGGGAAAGGTCACTTATTGGCCGGCCTCGGAGTCTGGCACGTCCTAGCGCGGCGTGGTGCTAGTAACCCGCGGGGTTTTCCCCCGGGGTCGCTGGGTAATGTCCCGCTGCGACGGGCTCGCCCGAGCGACTGGCAGG